ACCCATAATAAAACCTCCCATATTATAAGTTTTCAATACTATAACAATTCTAGGAACAATTTGACTCACCTACGCATTTGACCTATGTGTTCATGAACAGGAAGAACACTCATGTCCTCCTCACGCATTGTTGGAACCCCTGGTGCTATATCATCATCCTCAGCACATCATCTTCTGCAATGAACAAGTGGACAGTGAAAAATGATTAAAAGGAAGAAATCAACCTATACTCCCCAGCAACTTCAATCGACCTGTAGTAAATGGGAATAGCGGAAATGTTATGAAAGAAGATGATAATTTAAAAGGCCTAACTTAGAAAGTAAGTGTGGGAACTTATTTTCTGATTGAGTAATTGGAGGTTGTAGCGAGGATAACTGAAACTGAAACTGAAACCTATGCAATTTTATACAACAATATTTTATTTAAATTAAAAAAAATCTGTTTTCAACGTGTGCCTTCTAGGATCAGAACTTGGGTTGCTATCATACAACCTTAAAGTCACTTTCACACCAAAATTCCGAATATGTGCTTTTACACACTAACAGAAGCAATTAAAACACGGCCATAACAACAAGCACACACCTCGATCATCAAATCCACGATCGAGAAGAGCAAGTTGTGTTCTAATATCCGGTAGGTGTGCTCTCATTTGCCCCCTCGGTTCATTTCCTGATACCGCAGGAGCTTCACCTCGGCCTCGCTGACAACTGGAATACATCCAAATTATGACAGGAATCAACAAGATACACACTATCACAAAGACCTACAACAATAAAGCACACAAGCTAAATTAATAACATTACTAAGCAACAACATGATAACTTCAAATAAGAGAACACAAGTGAGAACCAATACCAGCATATTCGGCGCAAATTGCTCAATCATGAACAGGAAAATAACTGCACAGAACCACATTAGATAGTAGTCAATTATCTTGCCAAGAAAACGAATGGGGAATTAATTGGACACACCCATGAAACTAAAGTAGAACACCGCTGATCGCTTGTCGGGGAGAAGTTGGAAGAATCTTTTCTCGATGTCAGCATGGTTCCCACGAAAGAAAGAGCTCATTGTTTCTATCTAGTTCGGAATCTACGGGGAGGAAAGATCACATGAAAATAAACTGAAGTTCACAGATACATTTTTACAAACAATTTATCTGCAAGAACCAAATTCGACAAACGAACGCATACTTGAGAGGGGGTAGACTGAAGAAGCAGCGATCGAAGAGGTTTTGTTTGCAGAGGAATGATGGGTTTGTGAAGGAAAGGGGGGTGGGGGAGAGAGAAGAAACGTGAAGCGGTCGATGCTGCCATTGCTATGCTACGCGTTGATCGGAGCGCAGAAAGTGCTAACACCAAAAAGTTTCGGTTACGTATAGCGACACCCATGTATTTTAGCACCATTCGTCCAGGCTTGTAGCAGTGGGCTATAAGATACGGGCCATCCTTTGGGCCGTATATGCAAGGGTATCCTTAATAAGTACTAGCCCAAGTACTAGCCCCTTCCATCTTCTACAATTGCATATTAGTCCCTCAAGTTTGGAAATTGCATATTATTTCCTCAAATCCTATGAGGCCTTGCAACATGGTCCTTCAAGTTAAATCACATTAGATTTGAGGGAAATATTCCGTCAAATCTAATGGTTGGAGGCAAAATAACCGCTTTACCCCTCCATTATGTTCCCCAACTCATTTCTTAGTCCACTCAGGTTCTTATTCTCCAATGTTTAGAAAAGAACTCTAACCCAAAATTGAGTTTCACAAGGGTTTGGAACATCAGATTGGGGTGGCTATGGTGATTGTAGATGCTGTTTAGAAGTTAACTCAACATGTTGATGGCTGATATCAAACAGTCAATGAAAGAAGTGATTAAGTTGACAGAGGTCCTCTAACCCTCTGAGTGTCCAGTTCTGGAGTAGGCAGTTCTTCCCTGCGTAAGTAGTAAATCGTAAGAGAACGAGGTTGGGTTCCTCGATTATTCCTCCGACGATCAGGTCAGTAATATGCTTGAGTGGAGAAGTAACTGAACTGTAAAAGTTCTTAAGCACAATGGGTGGAGAAAAAGATCTTTTTTATTGTTAAAAATAGTAGTCTTATTTATAGTGGTGATAGAAGGATAGAATGATAACTTTGGCCGAGTATTGGTCGACGACCACATCAGCATCTCGTTATAGGTGTCAGTCGACAAGTGAAAGAGAGGTCACCTCGGTATTTAATGCGAAGTGATTTGGAGCGTTGGTGGCAACGTGGTCCGATGTGTAATAAAGACTATTGGAGGCAGAAGAATGATGACGTCCATAATGCATTTAATGGCATTTATTGCGAGATGATTGGCTGTTAGTGCGGGGGAGGGGCTCGAGGCTCGAGAAATGTCGTCGCCTTTTACTCGTCCAGTGGTCGAGAAGTACCGCCCTTTGAGTCGCATTCGTAAGATGTCGGCCGAATGATCAGTCGGGTAGGTCGATCATGGAGCCGACATAGCCATGGGTCAACATGTAACACCATTTAAGTCGTCCTCACGAGATGTCGTCGTCTCGAGTCGTCTAAACTGGGTCATGGGTTGTTTTAAAGTACTGGCTTGATTACGCATAATGTGGGATATTTCTCTGCCATTGATTGGAGATTAATTTTCAACACTAAAATGACTATAGCACAACCATTATTAGGTTTTTTTAACTGAAATACTAACAGGGGGAACAAATGCAAGACTGTTTAGGATTTAAGAGGCTAATATGTGATTTCTAAGATTTGAGGGACTAATATGAAATTATTGAATATGTAAGGGACTAATATGTAAATAGTCCTAAAGGGTAATGAGGTTACAAAAAATGGTATAGAGAGCCCTCAACATAAAAGGATATGACGTTCATATTATTTGTGCTAGTTTGGTATTTTATTTGCACTGGTTTTCACTATGCACACTAATACGTGCTGATTTAAAATTGTTAGCAGAACGCGCGACATTATTTACCTCATGTGATTTTGTTTAGAGTATTTTTACGAAGGGTTATTTGCCTATGTACCCCACAAAACCATCTGTAACTGCATATATACCCCCAAATCTCTAACTTCGGCTAAGGGCCTGTTCGTTTGCCTAAAAAAAAGAGGGAAATCAAAGAAATGGAAAACTATTAAAATGAAGAATTGTTTTTGGAGTGTTTGGTTGGCTAAAAAAGAAGGAAATCAAAGAAATGAAATTGAAATGATGTTAGTTGTCACCTTATTATTGAATGATGTTTGTGATTTTTTAAGAAAACTAGTTTTGGAGTATTCGGTTGGCGAAAAAAAAATAAGGAAATGAATTATAAGAAACCTATTTCCTGTAGTTTCTTGTTTTCTTTTGTTCGGTTCATTCTTAAAAATAAGAAATGAAATGAGATGAGATGAGTTGTCATTGTATTATTGGGTGATGTGAAGAAAGATTAAGAAAAGTGTTTTCATAACTTTTTGGGATGAAAATGAAGAAATGAAATGTTAATGAGATAAAGTGAATTGTTATAATATTTTATTGGATGATGTGAGTGATTTGAAATGATGAGAAGAGATGAGTTAAGTGATGTTTGGATGAAAATAATATTTTATTAGATGTGATGGATGAGTTGTTAGATGAAAATAATATTTTATTAGATGTGATGGATGAGTGGTTAGATAAAAATTATATTTTATTAGATGATGTGGATGAGTTGTTGGATGAAAATAATATTTTATTGGATGTTGTGGGTGAGTTTTAGGGATGGAAATGGAGGAAATGGTGAGTTTTGAGATTTTCACCATTTCCATTTCCATTTCTTGGTTTTTAGAAAACTAACGAACAGGCCCTAATAAGAATACCCCTCTCCACTGTTAGTTAATATAAAATTAAAAAATTGACAAAATTACCCTCCCGGTCCTCCCCATTTTCCCTCTCCCCCTGACCTTTCCAACCCCCCACCTCCAAACCAAGACATTATAATGCCAGCGCCGGCGGCCTCCCCTCGCCATAGCGCTGCAGCTCATCCCCTTTTTAATGTAAATTAAGCGTCCGCTGGTTTCCTCCGATTATGTATGAAAAATACTATGCAAAATACTGCCACTTCTTATGTTGATTGTCCAGACAACAGTTCTGGCATCAAACACTCGTACAGCAACATGAACAAGTTTATTCTACATTGCAATGGAAACGGTCTGTTAAGAAACAGGGTGACGAGAAGCTTGAACCGATCAGTAAAAGACATTCATGGGACCATCTCTTATTGGAACTTCAGACTTCCGTCAACAAAGCTCTAGATCTTCCTCATTGCTGCAACCGTGAAGATCTCATAGGCACAAGCTGAAGCAAACAAGAAAAAAAAAATGTTAGATGAGTACTAATGAGACAGTAATCGATCAGAGCATGTGATTCTTCCCAAATGGTTTTACTCTAGGTATTATCATCATTACTGCAGGTCCAGATCCCCTGCAATTAGCTCGTAATTGGAGAATATCCAATTATTTGAATCTCTACCAGTCATTCCACTTTTAAGGGTTGAGATTATGCCATGTAGGATTTTCAATATTGTGATAGTGGTTTTCACATGGTGGTTTCAAGGCAGTAGTGATTTTCAAAGCAACGAAGGTAATCCTACGTGGCACTATCTCATGTCTTGAAATTGGAATAAAGGGCAAGGATTGGGGTAATTGGACACTCTCCAATTACCACATAATTGGAGAGGATCCGTGTCCCTTGCATGTAGTGCAAAAAGATATAATTATTCTCCATAGAAATCTTTGATATTGGACTATGTGCCCCCTCAAAAAATGAGTTCCAGCATAGCAAATCAAAAGGAAAGTCATGATTAAAATAATAATAATAATAATAAATGAATAAATAATGACTTCTCAAATGCACATCTTTATGGACATACAACATTTCCAAATCCACGGGTGCTAAGAGCATCATGTGCTTGCAATTAGTATAAAACAGTTACTAAAACAGTTACGACTATGAAGTATACTGTTCAATGATTAGTTGTCTAAGACGCCATAAGAACAAAAACAAAGCAGATACGCGACGGATAATACCACCTATAAAATGTGCATTCTGAACTTCACAAAATGAATAATAGATTAATCTAATCAAAGAGTTGCAGGTGCGTGCCAATAAATTGCTCCCAAAATTCACAAGAAGTGATAACTAATTTTAGTCTACTAAAGAAAACAAAAGAAAAGCAAATGTAGTACTACTTAAACGTACCAGCAGCTACAAGAGCTGTAAGACCATTTCCGATTTTTGATACTCTCTTCACAGTGCTCTTGTAAGATTTAAACCTCTTCAGTGCAGGGTCTTCTTCCAGAAGCTGCAAGCATCGATTGCGTGAGAAGATTAGAAACTAATAACTAAACTGAAATGTAGATTGCAAAGGTGCTAGACTTTTCTCTCCTAAATAACCATTATGATAAAGAAGAAACAAGAATAAGAAACAAATAATATATTCACAATCATCTATCTTGCAAAGTTCTCGCAGCAACAATATGGCATGTCAGGATGGGGTTAAATAAACTAGCAAGTTTCAGCAAAACTTCCTCTCAAACTTCAGCAGCATTTGAGAATATCAAGAATTCTTCTTTACTGGCAAAATGTCTCGTTTATATTTATAAACGATGCATATCTAAAATCTAGGAAGCCCTGTCAACCTAAGGGGATTAGGCAATTCAGACTGTCAGACATAAAAACTGAAGTAAATGTTTGTTTATGTCACTGCAATCATATAATCTTTACTATATAACTTCAATCTCGGGAGATGATGCAGACAATGTTATGAGTACAAAGTTAGAAAAAAAACATCCTTATGCTTCTAGAGGTCAGCAAAAAGGGAGGGCATTTTGAAAAATAACAATGGTGCAACTATTAGATGCTAAGTTACATGGATACAAGTACAGGTACGAGACACAGTAACTTTGTAGAAGGTAGGATATCAGAACAACGCTACACTCACATATATAATAATAATAATTTATATGAGGTCAATATTTTTTCATTTCACATGCTATGAAATAAAATTCTTATACTATTTATTTGTTTCTTTTATGATATAGATTCATAAATTAGAAAATTGCTCATTTTTTAACTTGATATTCAAAAGTCCCTTCATAATCATAGATAGAATTGGGTATGTGTTGAAAAGAACCCAACTTATGTCCAATGAGTTTCAATAATTGCATGTGAAGCGTAGCATATGCATCCAAGAAGTATATGACGAGTGTTTTAAGTTAAAAGATGCATTATGTAATTGAGTACACATTTCAATAAGCGTATGAAAGTATCCAACATGTATCCACTCAAGCTTCTGTGTTGAGTACGGGAACAACACAGGTAGACACGGGTAGGCCTCCAAATAGAAGTACCCATGCAACATAGATTAGAAGACATGTCATTGAGAATGAGGATTAAGAAAAGTCGCTAACAAGTGTGTTCAATAAGAAGTAAAAACTCAAACAAATATAGTTCGATAAGTTGTTAAACCTAACATGGGGCATAACATCAGGAAAGCTTTGGTACAATACAAATTTAGATTAAATTATTTCAAACCTTCATAGTTGAATAAACTTTACCAACATATTTTTTTTCATGAATATTGCTAATGAATAGAGTTTAATAAGTACATGTCATTGGTAAATGAATAGAGTTCAATAAGTTGTTAAGCCTATCGAGGGGCCTACATTAAGAAAGCTTTGGCATGATATAATTTAGATTGACCGACTTGTTTCAAAATTTTATAGTGTAATAAACTTTACTAATTTTCTTGACGAATATTTGAACCCGCCAGAAAATCTACTTAAACTAAAAGAGAAAGATTTATTGCTCATGAGATCCAGGATGACTATATTTTCTCCCTGAAACTTCAATTGAACCCTTATATATTAAATTTGCTCATATACCCCCTGAAATTCAGTGAAACCCCCTCAATATTGTCAGAAAAACAACTCATTTATTCTAAGATTTCATTTTTTGAAAAAAAATTCCTCATATAACCTGACAATAAATGTTTGAATTGTATTGGTTCTCCTTTATAGGCATATAAGATTTGGTTGTTTGAATTGTTATGGTTCCCCTTTATACGCATATAAGATTTGGTAGTCCCGGCGATTTCAGATCAGAGTCATCCATACATGGAATAAACTCCAAATTTGATCAGAGTTTTCTTAGTTCATTGATTTCTTTTATTTACTTTTTTACTTCTCCTCAATACCGATATCAAATTAAGTTTTTGGAACTTTAAACCTTTAATCTATTCAAACTATTACGCAGTGTTAGCTAGTAAGTAGTCTAGTACCAATCATTATCAGACATTACTAGTAAATATAGATAGTACCGATCGGTTTTGGTTACACTTAAAATATGATAAGAAATACAACTAACTTTTCTACTGATTTCGATAAACTCCAAACCTGAATAACTAGTTCTCAAATGCCTCTTGCGAATTCACAAAAATCCCTCATATGCTGTTTCCATATATAACAGTGAAATTACTCATGTGCTCCCTCAAATTTCAAATATGCTCCTCTATATTTTGGAACATTCTTTTCTGCAACATAGTTTATTAGACCACTATTATTTTCAAACAATCGCCAGACATTTGACGGCCGATGTGAAAAATTCTACGCATTAATTAGCAAATCCACGACATAAAAAGACCTAACATGATCCAGAGAATTGTAACATTAAAAATAGACAATAAATATAGAGTAAATAAAAAGAAACCTCACCGCCTTCTCTCGGGCGCCCAGATCGATGTGGTACCCTCGACGAGGCGTAAGAACCGCGCCCTGCGAGAAAACAGCAACAGATGAGAACTTATGCGAGAAATCAAATGAGAAAATTAACGGATGAAGCCATTTTTTACCTGTGAAGAGGAGCGAAATTTAGAGAAAAGGTTGGACTTTGAGAGCGCCGTCGCCATAGTTTATGCTCGATATAGCTGGATGAAGAGAGAAGGAATGATCGAGAGAGCAATCGACTGAGGCGATGGTTAGATTCGGGTCGGATCGCATGAGATACATACTTTGATCCATTAATTGTTTGGGTAATTGCATATTAGCACCTTACATCATCTTTAATTGCCACAACGCCCCCGCAATCTCAAAGTTTGCCAAAACCTCCAACAAATCATCTATTTCATTGCCAATTTATCCCTTTGTTGAATTATTATTATTTTGAAAAGCCCTTTGTTGAATTTTTAGCAGTTGGGTTAAGCCTTAACCCAATAAAATTACTCCAATTCCCCTAGGTATACGCTACCCTCCCAAAAACATCTAAAAAGCCCTTATTTCTCCAAAATTTCCTATGCGCAAAAAGCGGGAACATCTCCAGTTGTTCGGGGGGTATTACCAAATACTGAGACTTGTGGGCCATGTTTGTAACCTTAGGTACCGTTTGGCAAAGGGTTAAGTGAGGGGTTAATGAGACTTAACCCCTTCTTAACCTACCAAACACAAAAAATCTATATAAGGGTTAAAGTGAGTTAACCCTCCATAATTTGCCAAACATAAAAAATATAGAAGGGTTAAGTTAACCCCTCTAGAGGGGTTAAAATGAGTTAACCCCTCAAAATGAGGGGTTTACTAATACTCCTATTTAGATGGAATAAGAGTTAACCCTTCTAATTATAAAGAAAATAGTCAAAATCATTGTTATTCCCAAACACTAAAACTGATCATAAGGGCTAAAATAAAACTTATTTAACGGGTTAATAATTTAGTCCTTCGGATTATCAAATGGGCTAAGTACATTAATCCTTCTCTTTAACCCCTCTTCATTAACCCTTTGCCAAACGGGGCCTTAAAGATTATTTAAGGGATAATACGCAATTACCCAAACAATTAATGGGCTTAATAGCAATTTCAATGAGATGAGTGACTACTTCAGAATAGCTTAAGATCTGAGGGAATTTATAGCAATTTCAATGATTTGAGGGACAAAGTCAAAATTTATACTACTTATAAAAGAGAATACCCATGTCAGAATTTTTGATTTTCCTTTTTATCCTCTCAATTTTTTATCTCTCACAAGTATTCCGTTATTTATAAAACTAATGATCCATAACCTCTCTTTAACTATGCACCTCTTCATTTTCTCAAATTATTTGGTCATTCACCAGAATATATTAATAATTTATAATGATAACAAAATTTGTAAATAAATGATAACTTATTACAAATTATTAATTATATAAAATAGTAAAAGTCATTCATTTAATAAATTAGTGCACATAATTATGATTATTAATAATAGTATAAATAGGGGTTACTTCTTTATGTTGTAAAGAATATTACCTTGTTCGATTATTATTATCATCTTAGTAATAAAAATTTGGACATTATAAATTAAAAATATTTTTATTTTGGAAAATTAATTTATATAAATATATTTAGATCCATGATATTTATGAGACATATACTTTTCTCTTCTTATTAATATATTCTAGCGAGTGACCAAACATTTTGGGTACTCTGGATGACCTCCTAAGCTCCACGCCCTGGGTAGTAGTTTCTGCACCTGGAGTTAATAAATATATTATAATTCATTATAAAATAATTGTTAATTATAATAAAATAGTGAAATTATTTATTTAATAAAACATTGTAGCTAATTATAATTATTAATAATAGTATAAATAGGGGTTGATTCTTTATATGGTAAGGAATATCACCCTTTTCGATATTATAATGCCATCTTAGTAATAAAAAATGGACACTATGAATTAAAATACTTTTATTTAGAAAAGTTTCTTTATATATAAATATTGGATTTTTGAAATCCATGAGTCATTCACTTTTTGTTGGAAAGTAAATGTCTCATAAATTTTAAGGATCCAATATTTCTATATAAAGTACTTTTCCTAAAAAATAATATTTTTAATTTATATCATCTAATTTTGTATTACTAAGATAATATTAATTATCGAGCAAGGGATGTTCTCTACAACATAAAGTCATATAATATTAAAAAGTACTACCATTATTTAATAGATATTGTAATAAAATATGTTCATAACATAAATATTTAATACTATAAATTGTTTAATTATATCAATAGTATTACTTAAACTAATGATTAAATTATTATTTAATAATTATACTCCTAAATAAATTGTTTAATAATATAATAATAAGATAATTTAAATAATTATTAAATGTATGTTAATAATTGTATTAAGTATTAATTATAGTATAACTTAAATTTTTTAAATCATAGTGCAATTAAATAACTTTGTAAAATGTTTATATATAATTTATTAATAATATAATATTAAATATAACAACATGTCCATGTGCAAAGCACGTGCATTATACTAGTATGAAAAAACCTACACCGAAATCATCATACTCCCTTTAAAAACACAAGTTCGGAAAAATCTTTCGGTAGACAAAAGTACCCCTATAAAATTTGAATTATCCTAATACTAATCAAATTCTAATATATAAATTGTATAACTATCCATGTACAACTAAATCCAACAACAAGATCCCTCCACATCTCATCTTAATCTCCCCTTTCAAAGTTAGTACTCAGAGCCATAATTACAAAGACAAAGGAAAATAATAGGACATGGTTGCCTATGAGAAAAAAGGGCTTATACGGCTTCAATGGTAATAATTACATATAAATGTTAAAATATATAAGCCTATTCCTAAACTTAAAAATACTTATTATTTGATAGTTTTATTACCACATGAGATTATGTATTCTATATTAATCCTAATCAAATTATAATTTTTAAATTTGCAATCTTTATACAAAGAGAACTCTAATTATGGTTATTATCCTATCACATGCAACACCTAATTGCCATATATAAACCAAGAAATTACACAATTTTTATAGTAATTTTGTGTCCTTCAATATGTATGCTCCTTTTTTTATCTTCATGTAGTAATATTGTGTATTTGATTTAATGGTGATACTTGTCAATTGTTTGCAACGATTTCTCCTCTTATTTCAGAACCTCTTTTGTTAGTGTGTTCTTCAACAGGTATGTCTTATTATTGCCATCATATCTTTTCTTTAGTAATATTGTGTATTTAAATCAATTGTGATATTTGTCATCTATTACTAGCTTGTATTTGCTTAATTTCTTTTACCTTTTATTTTACCATGAAAAAGCTAGCATGATTAAGAATTTGTCACATAAAAATAGATTGGAATTAATAGAAAAAATTATGCACATGCTAAAATCGAACCCGAAGAAGCACTCATCTTCATCGTAGAAGCTTCTATCGAGGTAACCGGAGAATTTTAGTCGTTGTGAGATACTCAGCTAGCTGTCATAGAAGGGATTTTTGCGCTTTGGAGAGAGATTTAGATGACCTATTGGGGTCAAATTGCGAGTTAAAAGTAAATTTAAGAATACCTCCCTTAACTTTGGGTATTTTGCAGAGAACCCACCCGAAGTTAAAAATTAGAGCAAACCACAGAACTTTGGAGGGTTTGCATAAACCCCTGACTTTTAGAAATCAGAGAAATCTCCCCTAAAAAATTGAAGAGTTTTCACGAAATCCTCTGAACTTCTGAAGTTTCATCCAAACTTTCAAGTAGGTTATTCTATGATTTGTTAGGAAGAAAGGGTTGGAGGAAACAAGGAAAACAAGTTCTTTTTTAATTTTTATTCAATGAATATATTATTTTTTCTAAATTTAGTTAATTAAGGTCTCCAAAAACACCACAAGTACTTATAGATAACTTTAGACTTTCATTGAATCATAATAATATATTTATCCCTAAACATGTTTAAAATAACAAAACAGAGATTAGGACAAAAAAAATTTGAAACTTTTAAATAGGAGAAAAAGGAAACACTAAAAAGGAACCACACAAAATTTTTTTTATAGAAAATTCTTAAATTAAAAAAGGAATCAATAAACATGTTTACCAAAAAATATTTAAAATATTTATCCCAAGATGTGTTTAAAATAACAAATTAGAGATTAAAAAAAAGGAAAAATCGATGCCTCTCCCTTTCCCCCGCCGCCTCTCGTAGCCTCTCTGACACGTCATGTCCTCATCCTCCAAGGTCCCTTCTATTCCACTTTCTCTCCCTCAACCAAAGTTTTAATGGCTCCCAAAGAAACATATGTTTCTTGAAAATTGTAATTAACTTAGAATAACTTATTATAGTGTGTCTATGTTGGTTTGGCTGTTGGATTTAATCTAATAAATCTATTTGTGGGCACATATGATTACTCAATGTGTATTGCTATCTTTCAGGATAACCCACTAAAGTGATCAATTAAGTTGGGTTAATTTGGTATTTAAATAAGTCATGGGGTTATATGTGCAGATACCAGGTTGTAATTGTAATTTATTGAAGGGCTAAATTACAAAAGTACAACATCTATAAATAAGGGGTTATGGTCCCTAACCTAGGGTTACATTCTCTAATTCTCTTCAACCCCATCTAAGAGAGAAATTCGGCTAAAAAGAGAAACCCTAAGGTTAGAAGATCCAAAACCCAAAATCAAGATCAATCTATGGATTCAGGTATAAGCTTCCGCTCTCTTTTGATTTTGTTAATCTCTTTGAATTAATCATGGCTATATGGTTTTAGATCTCAAGTGTTATGATGTAGATCTAACAAGTGGTATCAGAGCCCCCTTGATTAATTCTTAGGGATTTAAGTTTTATTGGGTTTTTTATCTTAAATCTCTGGTTAAAGATTCATTTTTTGGGTTCGGATGAACAGTAATGTTCTCGGATGAACAGTAATGTTCGGTGAACAGCAACGAAAATTTTTTTCGGATGAACAGTAACTGAAAAATCGTCGGTGAACAGTAACTTTTGGGAATTTTTTGGATTTGATGAACCGGATACGCGAGGTTCGTTGATAAAGAGATCCCGCGACGTTCTAACTGGAACGAACGCCCGGAGCTCGTAAAAATGAACGCGAGGTTCAACTGAGAGAACGCGAGGTTCGTCTGAAGTCGAACGACACGCCGAGCGTCCGTCTGAAGTGTCCGAACCCCGAGGCTCGACTGAAGCGACGAACGCGAGGTTAGTCTGAAGCTACGAACGCAGGTTCCGATCGTGCAAGTACAACGCCGCAGGTTGTCTGAAGAACGAACGGCGAGGTTCGTTAAAAAAATGAGCTGACGCTCACCTGGGTGAACACGGAGTTCACTCTCTAGAACCGAACGCAGGTACTCGCTTGGAGCGCGAAGCTCCCGGTTAAAATTGAAGAACTCCAGGTTCGTCTGTGCAGGTAACCACTCCTTAATTTTCCCATGAACCCTTAGGGTTTACCAACTTGGAACCGCCGCCCCGACAAACCCAAAAACCTATTGCATTTTTTATTCCTTCAAAAACAGACCCAGAATTGGAAAAAAATTTGAAGGAAAAATCAAGTAGA